GATTTCTCCTGGCGGAGGCGCTTACCCACCAAAGTGAGAAAACGAAAAGCCGCTGATAAAAAAACTCATGATTATCATCAGTTTGTTTACGCTGCGACATATGTCATAATTACCACGGTTGAGGCTTTAACTATTAATTATTACGGGTTTTGTTTATGGCTTCTTGCCTCCATTATACATCGACGTCTGACGCCGTTTAGGGAGACAAACATCCGCGAAGAAAAAGGAGAATTTCGACCAGGTCGCGGTTGCATCGACCAAATCTCCACTCTGCGTCAAGTCCTCGAGCTACGCCATACGCACCGCCGACCAACGGTTGTCGTGTTCCTTGACCTAAAAGAAACCTTCGTCTCAGTTGGTCGTAAATCCCTTATGGATTCACTCCTTCGCCGAGGAAAGCCGCAGAAGTATGTGAGCACACTGAGTTCACTCTACTCACACACCTCTGGTAGCGTGGGGGTCTACGGTAAGCTGAGTAGGTCGTTCGTAACTAGCAGCGGTGTTCGTCAGGGGTGCCCTCTTTCGCCATTTCTATTCAATTTCATCATATACGAAATGCTGGAGAACACACTAAGTGGTCTCCGAAATGTAGGTATCGAATGGGCAGCTGGAGAAAAGCTGTGCAATTTGGAGTACGCTGACGATATCGTTCGCCTGTTCGAATCTATGGAGATCAGCAGATGACGTGGAGACGAGGCATAATGAAATGCACAGAGCGATTAGGTAGAGTAGGTGTCTCTCGTCTTCCGGGTTGGGGTCCAAAAGAATCCGAAACCGCATGGTTGGAGACACTGAAGGTTATGGCTGCGAACCGACAGCAATGGCGATCATGCTGTCACTTCTTACCAGACCAGAATGCTTGAAATTGTATGTATGCACAGTTGGGCTGTGTACTTTGTGTTGACCATAGAGATTCGCTTTCTTGTCCCGTCCCTAAAATTAACTCCAACCCCTACCCTCTATGCACATTTTCACTTACATTGTGTGCATTATGAGTTTGGCAGCGATCAGTGAAGTTCGCTTCATTGTATTACGCTGTACAAATGATAATGATGATATAGATTCTTGGGAAACGGCGTTCTTTTGCGAACAGTGTTTATTATTGTCGACCTGTTATTATATCCACATCTCAAGAACACAGTTCACTATAAGTGGAGATACGGAACGGTAAGCACATGCTTTTGAATGCAAAACAATATATCGTCTCAGTTACATTGAGATTTTTACTCCTAGGAGTATCGCGTGCTATACAGAAACACTGAAGCTGTACGAGATATGTCAAATGGTTTGACGATACGGGCACATCGGATAAACCTTCTCCAATCAATGTGTCGCAGCATGCAGCCCCCTACAAGTTCTCATTTCTTAACCAAGCTTTGTAACACCAACATTTGTAGGAAATAATTTCGTTCAACATCCGTTGACTTCAGAATATCCCGATACTTTTTGATCTGACTCGCCTACTATGGCGTGATAAAGGTTTGTGCGTTGAAGCTAAAGGAATATATGTCAAGGCTCAAGATATGCGAGTTTTGGCTTAAGTTTGATGGGAAAATGTGTAGATATTCGCTCAGAAATATAAGGTCGTCTTAACAACGTTGTGATAAAGGTAAATATATACTTACATTGTCTGCATGCACACGGTTAGAACGACTCGAGTCGCGACACAGAAAAAAGATAGCACTGAGTGAAAACGTCTGTAAATAGCACACCGGTTCCCGGATATATATATATATATATATATATATATATATATATATATATATATATATATATATATNTCAACTATGAAAAAGGGAACGAACACAAACACACAAACTCGACGATAATCTATTTTTTAATCGCTAATTGTGCGTTCGAAGAGTGCCGAATTTATATATGATAAGATCATGTGAATGAGAACCAAAGGAATCCTTCAACTAATCAACTGGCATATCACAGCACTAACCTCCCCATTGGAGAAAAAACACTGCAGTATGAGACACGTACAGACATAGAAGCGTCGACGCTTAGACCCGTGTGTGTTCATGTGATGCCACGTTTACACATGCACAGATCGGGTCGATCGGAAACCAATGAAAATCACCAATTCACTGGGAGGATGTGGGGTGTAAATGAGATCGCGCGGCATGAACAACAATGGAGCAGATGAACACTAGAGAATGACAGAGTGATAAGCGGAAAGATTATTGGCGTATACATGTTGTGTGACATGCATCAGTGTTGATGACACCTGTTGAGGCCAGGTTTATCCGTACGTGAGTATGCCGAAGGGTGTATCAATAAGATGAAATGGTGAAAAGAAACTGTTTCTTGCGTTACTTCCACCTGCGTATCTCATGGATTAATCTTTTAGTTCTATCTATGGTTAAAATTCAATTTTTCGTCAGCGTTGTGTAGCCAGGATGATCTGCAACCCAGGAAGCGCAGTTTTCTATCGAGAAATCATTTGTCGAATGAACGGATATCTTTTACGATGTGACGAATATATAAGAGAATGCAGATTATTCAGCTGTGAAATGAAGTGCACAGTAATAAAAATATTTTAATATAATAGATATGTGATAACGTGTGCGGATAGAAACTTTCTCAGCAAGATAGGACCACCTTTTGATCTTACATCGCTAGAGAAAAAAGCGTAACTGCTCCCAATCAGTGCAAATACCGACTGCACTTACTTGAGCGTGTATTCATCTTTCTGAGGATGTTTACCTCCTCCTCCACCGCCGCCGCCACCACCGCCACCACCCGGATTCGGCTTACCTCCCGTTCCTGCGGAAGTGGCTGTTGCACTCGAACCGGATTTGGCTGTTGACGTGGTGACGGTCGATGCGTTACCAGCCGCACCACTACCCCCACCACCACCACCACATCCAGCACCGGTAGTACCAGTAGCAATAGACTTGGTGACGGATACCACATTAGAATTGCGTGAGTCACCTGATGCTGATGCTCGTGTAGGACAAGACGGTCCAGTACTTGATAGCAGGTGACTATGGGACAGGCAAGTGGAGGATGAGGATGAAGAGGACAGGGAAGATGTGGAGGAGGCGACGGATGCTGATGAACCGGAAGAGGAAGCAGAGCACACTGAAGATGAAGGGACTTTGGAGTGA